CTCAAATGAATCCTTAATAGTGTTACAAAATGCCTCATTCTTGGAAAAGCTTTCTTCCAATACAGAGTCAAGTAAGGCCTTGAATTCTAACAAAGAAGACACCATGTCCTTGTCTTTCTCTTCATCCATGACAATGGCTTGCCCAGTTCTCCGAATATATGAGCTTAGGGCCTGCCTGAGTGATTCAAGAGCATTGACCCTTGAAAACAGTGAGTACATCCTCTGAAGGTCCTCTATACGATGTCCATCCATCAGAATCTTAAATCCCTGCAGAAATCAGAGAAACAATAACCATTAATAAGATGAAAATACAAGCAGGTACTCAAAACACAAAGGAAAACCAAATATACATATTGAAACCTTATCAAGAATGGAAGGTATATGACGTTCAAGGAGCTGCCTTTCTGCTGTTGCTATAAGTGGCTTTCTTGTAATAGCATCCAGGTAGAGTAAACATCTTTCATTTTCTTCATGTAACCTCATCTGCATCAATACACACAAACTGTTACTAACATAAACTTACACAAAAATTGTAGAGGGATAAGCATTCAAATTCCATATATATGGAATAATATGAAAAATTTAACATTCTTTTTAGAAGGATAAAACATGTACAATTCAAAATACAGAGTAAAAATCACTGCTGACTGAGAAAGTGAAATATGAAGAGGCACCTCTACATGCTTCAAGTAATCTGGAACATCCGATTGCTGCATGTATTTCATTCCTTCAGCTGCATAAAACTCGGAAGTGCACTCCAGGAATGGCTTCTCAAAACTTTCCGAGTAAATGCCCAAAGCAGTAAACATCTTCAAAAGATGGTTAAGTAGTGTCCTGTCAACTGCTTCACCTAACCTGCATGATCAAAACAGACACAGTGGATTACAAGATACGAATTTAATTAACACCTGAAAGATAAGAATTAATTACTAACATCATCCAATAAACTAGGGGGAAAATTTATGTGGAAGGAAACTAAATGCGAGAATTACAAGAAAGAAAGCAACAAAATATTAAGTTCCTCAACAATTTTAGGTTTTTCCTGAGAATGATGGAAGCACAGATAATTAAAATAAGCTAGAACGAAGCAGGTTATAGTTAAATTGATTAGGCATCCTAATTGACCTTTCTAGGAGCTTCTTTCCACAAATGAAGATATGTAACCACCTTCTACCACTAAAATCATAGAAAAATAAGTAAAACAAGCAAAGGAATAGTAACATTGAAACAACAATTTATGCATTGATTGGCCTGACACAGAAAATTCAGTGTGATATCAACTTGGTTTATCCCAACTATAGCATTCATTTATCCCAACTATGACCTTTCATCCAACCATATTACGTTTTATGTACCAATAGACAAAACAATACAAGGTAACAATGGCAGCTTTTTCAATTTATTAAACCTTTCCAACCACAACATCCAGAGAAGGATAGTTCATCCATAAGTTCTGCAACACCCAGTGAGAAACAATCTTACATTATCCATCTAAAACTATTATGCATTTTTTGCATAAGTTGTTACTTTGGAACCCACAAAAAACAGAATAGGAAATTTTTTTGCACATTTCAATTTGAATTTTGTTAGAGTTACCTCTCACTCTCAATCATTCGTAAAAGACCGGTGACAGTTTTGTGCTCAACTTCCGGAGCCAGAGAAAGATGTTTACGGAAGAGTTGCAGGCCCATGTCCCACAAAGAACGTACATTTGGGTTTTGTTTAACATATGTCCTGTCCAGGTACAAGGCTATACCACGAATCATCAACATTTGATTACAAAGATCTTGCCAACATTTCTCAACAAGCGATAAGAAAACCACCAGGTCAGGGCTTTGCCCAACCAAAGATCTTAATGCCGCAGATATATGTTCTTCACATTCTTTTTCAATTCGTTGATACAGACTTCCTCCCATCTTGTGCAGGCAAAGATCATTGACAGCCTGAAGGGAGAATACCCAATTATCAAGGCTCAATATTGCTCACACTGCAAATGGCTATCATAATCAAAAATAAAGAGAAAGGGGGAAAAAGTGAGGCTTACCTGGTAAAGCTTCTCCAAGTCACAAGGATCTGGTTGCTTCAGAAATATAGCATTAATAGCTGACTTCAGCTTTGCCCATGTTTCCTCCTCAAAATTTGTAGGCAATGTCGGTTTTGCTACAGAGAACCAAGAGAAGAAGTTAAAGCTGTATCAGAAACCATAATGAGCATATGCTCTTCTAGTTTCTTATAATTAATTCATATAAACAATAAACAAAATCAGATTTGCATAAAAAATAAAAATTCAAAAAATACTTCAATCCTAATTACACTTCCTTGCAAGTAGACTTATTAATATGTAATAAGAATACCTGCTAACTAAAAGCCATATTTAGCTGCTCGGTAAGATGAAGTAACTAATTATATTTATGCAAGCGGCATCGAATATGCTTACAAACAAATAGCTTTCAATTTACACAGCCTAAATGGCACAATCCAATTTTAATTAATTAGTGTTAGCTCAGTATAACAGTAAAAGCAATAAAGATAGATTTGTCAATCCTAAGATCTTAAAATCGAACAAAATCCCTAGTTTCTAAAATTGACCTCCTCTAATCCCCAATTTTTTTCATTCCAAAAACGACCCAACAATCAAAGCCACTAAATTGCTAAGACCAAACTCTCGAATCAACTGAAAACTAGAAAATCTTGTATAAAAAAACACCCCATGAAATAAATTATACAAAAAATGGGATCAATTAAAAGGAAACCCAAACCTTTAACGAGTTTGATGACGAGCTTTTTGGCGGGTTGAGGTGGGGTAGCCTTTTTGCGAGACAAATTAGCGGCGGCGGGTGCACGGGCATCGTCGGACTTGGAATCATAGTCGAGGGCAATAGACGAAGGGTCGAAAACGACGTCGTTGTCGCCTTGGTTGTTGTGGTGGTTGTGAAGGCCATTCTTATTCGGGTCGAGAGAGCAAGCCACGGCTTGGGACTTGGCTTTCTTCATTGGCGGCTGAGAGTGAGAAGAGGAGGAGGAAGCGGCGGTGTTGGAGCTGAGAGAGCGTTTGGTTGGGGGCAGAGACATGAAAGTGATCAACAAAGCATTGTAACAATTTACAGCTTCTATTATTTATTTAATCTACCTTTCCTTTTCTTCTTCGCCCACTGGATTTTTCTTTTTTACAGTACAGGAAGATATCCACGAGGCACCGAGTGGTTGATTGATTTCACAAACAAGAAGAGAGAACAACATAAATAAAAATTACCCTTTGCTCTGTGTCAATGTTTGGTGGGTGCCTCCTGGGCTATTGTGATTGGATTAATTGGGCCTTTCATAGTTGGAGTAATTGGTTTTTTTCTAAGCTGGCCCAGTTATTATAGGTGGGTTGTGGATTAATATTTTGGCATAATGTCGATAAATGTTCCTCACGTTTGACTAATTAATCAATTTGATCTCTATTTTTTTAGTATTTTAACACACCAATATTTCATTTTACGAAAAAGGATCCCTCTATAGATGAAAATCGTTAGTTAGCATACTATTAACGGTCCAAATAGAGATAGTTTTATCCTAAAACGAAACATTGAAGGTCAAAATGTTTCAAAAAAAAGAATATGAACTAAAGTGACTATTTGATCAAACATTAGGAGTCTTTTTCCGATAATGATATGTTGAGGCTAAATATTAAAAAAACCAAAATAATCATTTCAATAAATACTAAAGTTAATTTTAACATTATGTTTAATATTTTCAAAAATAAAAGATAAAACATCATCTATACTAGTTCCTCCCCATATAAATCTTCTTTGATTGGGAGTTTATTAAGAATTTGTTAACCACACGATCAAATAATGCCTTGTTATATGGAAGAGACACAAAAGCAAATATTTCATTAAATTTCTCATTCTTCTTATATGGTTTTACGTTATGGATAAATTTTTAAATTTTAGATAGAATAGATTACCGACAAAAATATCCAAATTATATGAAAAAAATAAAATTTTCAGAAAAAAACGATTGTTACTATGCAGTCTATTCATGTCTCCATCCTTCCCTTAATCCCATTCCAAACTTCTTCAACCTTGTATAAGTCCATGCTCGTGTTACAAGATCTAAAAGTTGAAAGACAAGATTCTAAATTCAACAACTTTGTAAGGTTTTATATGTCACGGCCTCTTGTCTATCTATATCTCCTTTGAATCTGATGAGCAAGGAATAGTATTCCATTATCTTCATTTTCAATTTCTATATTTGAATTCATGTACCTTTTGAATACATAATTATTTAGTTATGTATACTAGTCTAATTGATATCATAAGCACTTACTTATTAATTGACCGAGGCACTTTCTTTTGATTTCCCCTCTTCTCAAACATCAAAAGGTTGTTAAATGCATAATATTCCTATAAATTACTAGTGTATCTTTTAAAAGGAAAAAAATAATTATGGGTGTGTTATTCATTGAAAACGATTTTTTTTCTCAGTAATATAAATTTATTATAGATTTGAAACATATACCTTGGCATGCTTGTGTGCCTCATTAAAAACTCTTTAATCCTATGTGGAGGAAAATAGTATTATCTTATACACTAGCAGCTGAAAATATATTTTACAAATGAGATTCTAAGGTTGTTTTTGTTTTTTGGATGGTGTGATTACAAGATACTATATATGTGTTTATACATTTTCTTAGCTTATTAATGACGCACACACTCTCTACATACCCAAAAATCTGGGACTTAACTACATCAAATTGAAGTATAGGGACTGATTTCCTAATTCTATCATAGTAAAAAGTCAAACAATTATTTAAAAGAGTCAACTTCCTTTCATCTCTCCAATAATTTCCCAACCCCACCATCCCTTCAAACCCTAACTTTTTGGCGTTGGTCCCCTCATGACCTTTCCCCCTATATAAAATCCTCCTCTAAAAGACCTTCAACCCATATCTTAACTTGCATCGTATTTTCAAGCAAGTAATTGAGCCTGCTTATTACACCATTTCCTTTCTTTTTGTAATGGCGAGTACTGCTACTACATCTCGTGAAGACATTAAAGTAGTGCTTATCGATACTCGGTACATCGAAACCGATCTCCATAGCTTCAAATCCGTAGTTCAAAGGCTCAGGGGAAAGGATTGTTGCGTCTCTTGGATAGATGAGAGCTCGTTTTCCTGTAGTAAAACAGGAACAAATAATGTTGCAGGAAAGGTTGCAGCTGAAGGGTCATATGGCACTGCCGCCACTGGCTGCAGCTATAGTGGTGGTGCTGGCGGTGGCCGCAGTGACGTTGATCGTGTTTCCACGTTAACGAAGGGTTTATCTTTTAAAGACTTGGATAGGTTGATCATGGAGGCGCCACCATTAGACGAGTTGAACTGGTTGTGGGCCGAGTACTAGCTAGAATTCGCATTATATCCCCCGAGTTTTGTATTAGGTTAGATTATGTGTGGCGCTCGGAGACCCCTCGACTCGACTCTACGCCATGCATGAGCAAACACTAGGTCTTCATTACAAATGTTCTTTTTCTTTTTGCCCAAAGAAATTAAAAGTATTCAAATTATATTTGAATTGGACGGATAATCTCATTTATGAACATATCTATTGAAGATGGGCTTGTCATTAGTTTCTTCATCATAAATCGTTACATTTGGGACTTGTAGATATCAAATAAAATTTTAAGGGACGAAAATATATTATCAATAAAAATATGAAGAAAATACAAAAAATATGATAATTATTTTTTAGAAAGGCACGACTGTCCCGCCAATTCCATTCTTGGATATGATTAACTAAGCAGATGCCATTATAAGAAACAATTGTGCCTTTAATCTCCTTGTTGAACATGTCATCTCACTTTTATCAGAGTTTATTGTCTGAATTCGACAACTAAATATTATCGATTGTCTTGTATCATTTGTCAGTTTTCTAAAGTTTGAGATTTGCTGGTTATCTATAGGCTTTAGAGTACATAGATTTTTATAAGAATTTTACTACTGATGTTAAAAGTTGAATAAAAATACCATAAGGGAAAGAAACTCCATAGCCAATAACCATTATTGCTTTTTCATTTCTTCCAATCAGCTTATCTTAGCATGATCACTTCTCTATGCAACCCATCATCTAGATAAATTTTAATAGACGTTTGCATTGGTTTTTTCAATGTAAAAACCTTAATTTCATATAATATTTCTCAAACCAAAGTAGACCTAAAGTGACTGGCATATACTTGTGTAAATGATTCTTCAAACAACATATTCTAAAATGATCTTGATTCAAATAACACTATCCATAAAATGTGTGTAAATTTATTCAAAACTGAGATAAAAAAACAAATATTAACAAAAGACCACATCATAATATTAAAGGGGAAAAAACATGCATGGAACCTTCAATGATCGATCCCCTTTTCTTTCTTCCATGAATCTTAGCATCCTTTCTTTAGTACTATAATATATTGAAGTATGAATTGAAGTGTAGTTCCACTGAGTTAACTTCACTTAAAGAAGATAACTTCACTTAGAGAAGATTCACATAATTTATATATATATATATATATATATATATATATATATATAAAACATCATTTAAAAGAATATTGACATCAATTTTCTAAATTCAAGTAGTGTAATCTAAAATTTTACTCCTTCCTTACATCGATCAGCTAAATAAGCTAAAGAATTCATGGCATTAAAAAATACAAATCAGAAAATAAGAGAAAAATATATAAATGTTGAAATTTGAAACTCTCTTGATGGGTGGATACCCTACTTTAAAAAGCAGCCTCTATTCTTATTTTTTGTCTATTAAAAAGCACCGAATATGAGATGAACATAAATATATACTGCGTCGAAACATATATAAATTAAATAAAGAAATGATAAACTGACAACTTGTTTTTGCAAGATGAATCTTTTCCATTTCCCGTTGTGATCTCTTTCACAGTCGGATCACTTGCAAGGTCGGTGTCATGCCACTTAGTTTCACAAAGTGGCCCACCAACTACCCTAAATACTAAACCCTAAACTCTATCACCCATAGCTTGAAGTTTCCAACCATCTAAAACGATCGAACCTTCACAAAAATGGAATTAACGTTCGTAAATATTCGAGTAAAATATATAAACGATGCATAGTAGTTCATTGAAGATCATATCATTGACTTCATTTATAAGCTATAGATCTATTCGTTAATCGATAATGTTGGGCAAATTTGAAGACTTTATGATTTAGTTTCTTTTGAGTTGTGTTTGCTCACGTGGATGGCTGGTGAATTGGCTCCTTAGAGACTGAACTGTTAGGCCATAGCTAGCCGCCTATGTTGATCAAATTCACCACAGGTCAGTTGAATGTAAAAGAAAAGTAACCAAGTTCCAGCTCATTGCATGCATGGCTGACTTGTACAAAAGTCAACAAAGCCACCACTTACATTTGACCTCAAAAGGATATAATACAAAGGTAAACATTTTAGTAATCGATACACGTGTTTGGAAAAAAATTTGATAATTTTAGAGTTTTGAATGAGAATTGATCCAAATGTTGTTGAGGAAAATGTGGAACCAATTGTTGGTTCGTAAATGTGCAAACGTGCACGATGTGGGTAACGTAAATGTCTGAATCGGTCTATCTCTTTGTGGGCTTACGGATATTTTAACACAAATTTAAGATATTTTCCTCAAATAGAGAATATCTTTTCAAAATCTGTTTGGAATTAAAAAGATAATATTAAAAGGTTCATTTAATCAAATAGTAATTTTGGAAATGTTTAATTGCTTAATTCTCATTAATGCTTCATTAGGTAAAATGTTTTCATTTGCTCACAATGTGGACTCCCTATAAAATCGTGTTAAAAACCTACTAGGTTAAAAACAATTCAAAACAACTGAAAAAACCATTCAAAGGAATTCTTTTCTCTAGTTTTTTGTGATAGACGAAGACAAGGAATAGTTCGTGATCTCGAAAGTTTTACTACTGTGCATTGATCATCTCGTTGTTGTATCATGTGAACAGATGATCAAGATCTCGAGCACCAGGAGTGACTGAAAATTTGTCTTCAGAAAATTGCATAATTGCAGGCTTCAACTTATTTCTATTAATTTATTTATTGTTTTATATTCAAATTATTTAATTGAATATTTCCATGTTATTAATATGTGTCTTGTTCATTATTCTTGATTCATGTACACGATTTTTGGACTTGATCACAATCTTAAGACAGATTCTATTTCTACCTTTCTGGAAAAAAAATTAAATTTGAGACGATTAAAATCTGAAAATTTGAGATAAACAAATAAATTCATTTCCGGGTTTATCCTTTCGTTTTGGGTTTGTTTAATTTCAAAGTGGAAAAATATATTTCATAGAAATTGTTAAAAAATAAAAAATAAGCGAGATTGATTTGATCTGCGCAATGGTACAAGAATTTTTGTAAATTGCTTTGCAAGCTCATGTAGGAACCAACTGTGTAAATACATAAATGCATGGTGATTAGGTCATTGTGACAAACGCATGTGATTTACTTTTTTTCGCAAATAAAAGAATAAATGTGATTCTTTGGTTATGAAAATAAAAAATTCCATATGTGGTTATTGCCTATAATGTAGAGCAATTAAAAATCAATGTGATTCTTTCTATATTATGGTACTATGGGGAATATCAGTATTATTACCTAACATGTGGCCTATTAATATGGAATATAAATATGACATGAATAAAAGAATACATTTGGTATTTATAATATTATTAAATGTCATAATAATTATTGTGTGTATTTTTGGGAACCTATAAATTTATTATTGTACTAAAATTTATTTTGCGAATTTTGTAGATACAAACAAATTTAAAGTTTAATCCAAGGCTTTTGATTTATGTTGCCAAAAGTAAAATCAAAGGATTAATTCCTTTCGATTATGGATTGCGAAAATTAAAATCAAAGGATTAGTTCCTTTTGATTATTGGTTGGTAAATTAAAGGATTAATTCCTTTTTATTTATGTTTGTTGAACAGAATTGAGTTGTTGTGATATTCTGTTTAAGGTTTTAGTGTTACTATCTCGTCGGTAACAGAATATAAAGGAAATAAATCATGGATTTATTTCATCGTTAGAATCATGTGTTGAGTAACTTTGTAAGGAAAATATGGTTGAATTTATTTCCTTGAGAACTTAAATGATTCTAACTTGTAAGTAAAATAGATTGTGAATTTATTTCCTTGAGAATACTTAATGATTCTAACTTTGTAAGGAAATAAATGATGAATTTGTTTTCTTGAAAATCTTAAATGATTCTAACTTGTAAGGAAAATAGATTGTTGAATTATTTCCTTGAGAATCTTTAATGATTCTAACTTTGTAAGGAAAATAGATTGTTTAATTTAATTCCTTGAGAATCTTAAACGATTCTAACTTTGTAAGGAAAATAGATTGTTGAATTTATTAACTTGAGAATCTTAAATTATTCTAACTTTGTAAGGAGAATAGATTGTTGAATTTATTTCCTTGAGAATCTTAAATGATTCTAACTTTGTAAGGAAAATAAATTGCTGGATTATTTCCTTGAGAATCTTTAATGATTATAACTTTGTAATGAAAATAGATTGTTTAATTTATTTCCTGAGAATCCTAAATTCTAACTTTCTAAGGAAAATAGATTGTTGAATTTATTTTCTTGAAAACCTTAAACGATTCTAACTTGTAAGGAAAAGATTGTTGAATTTATTTGATTGAGAATCCTAAATGGTTCTAACTTTGTCAGGAAATACATTATTGATTTATTTCCTTGAGAATCTTAAACGATTCTAACTTTGTAAGAAAAATAGATTGTTGAATTTATTGCATTGAGAATCCTAAATGATTTTAACTTTATAAGGAAAATAGATTGTTTAATTAATTCCTTGAGAATCTTAAACGATTCTTTGTAAGGAAAATAAATTGTTGAATTTATTTAATTGAGAACCCTAAATGATTCTAACTTTTGTAAGAAAATAGATTGTTTAATTTAATTCCTTGAGAATCTTAAACGATTTTTGTAAGGAAAATAGATTGTTGAATTTATTAACTTGAGAATATTAAATGATCTAACTTTGTAGGAAATAGATTGTTGAATTTATTAACTTGAGAATATTAAATGATTCTAACTTTGTAAGGAAAATAGATTGTTGAATTTATTTCCTTGAGAATCTTAAATGATTAACTTTGTAAAGAAAATAGATTGTTGAATTATTTCTTGAGAATCTTAAATGATTCTAACTTTGTGAGGAAAATAGATTGTGACTTTATTTTATTGAGAATCTTTAATGATTATAAATTTGTAAGGAAAATAGATTGTTGAATTTATTTCCTTGAGAACCCTAAATGATTTAACTTTGTAAGGAAAATATATTGTTTAATTTATTTCCTTCAGAATCTTAAACAATTCTAACTTTGTAAGGA